ACTAAGGAAGCAAGCTTGACTTTGAGAAGCACTCATGTAAGGTTGCAATGGCCATCATCTTTCACAGCAGCACTGGCTTAGACTGTTTAAAGCTATTTAGATGCTAGCAGCTACAAGTCAGGTCAGAGTCAGTAAAAATAAAAGTCTAAAATTAAAGATCTTCCAGATACATTTTGAAAAGTGCAGAGCTGGAAGCCACGGGTAGAGTAACAAACATGACTGATCATGTAACAATTCTTCTCTGGTGACCTGTGACCATAGACTGTAGATGAACACTGTGACAGTTCCCCACAAGTGAAAGCAGAAATTTTGATTGCTGTCTGGTGGCTTGCTGCAGTATAGGTCATGGTATTATCAATGCCCACAATCAGGAAAACACTTCAAACTCATGACCATATGGTCATCTCCCATACTGGACATTCACTGATATTTGAATTTATTTGATATATGACCCAGAGGGTTTTGCTTTTCAACTTTTTAAAGTTGTTTTACAGTTTCCAAGTTCCACAGACTTAAAAGACTGTCAGCACTCTTTTGTAAGCTGCTTTTGAGAAAGTAGAGGAGTAGGGACCATTATTACAACGTCATCTGCAAAGAGGAGGACATTTCATCTCTGCAAATCAAGATGCCATGATAAGCAGGGATCAGACTCGCACCTTAACTTCAACTTAAACATTCATGGGTGACTCTAAATCAAGTCAGTTTAGAAATAAAGACGAGAATCTTTTGTTCAAATGCATTTCAGGCTACTGCAATAAGCACAAACATTTTTTCACTGACAGCCATGCCATGATCATTTAAATGACACACTCAAATAGCAATTACACACTCAGAATAATGTGTGGTTACCGTTATTTCTGTCACAGGGAAACAACAACTTACATGCAAGATGAATGGCATAAGATCTGCCATGGTTACCATAAAACTGGCCTACATGAAGAGCCAGTGTCTAAACATCCAATTACTCTCCTCTACAAAGAGCTTATAATGAGAATTCAAGACTGTGAATAGAGTATTTATATGTCCTTGATGCTAAACCCACAATAAGCTTTGAATATTATATATCAGAAGTGCGGCTGGAAAATGGATACGCCATTAAGCTATGTCACAGAGCACGAGAGAGGTCTTTGATATACTGTAATCTAAACAGTTTTACATGAACATAAAATTCTACTCAGTTGTGAAATTGGTCTTAGATTAAGGCAATGTTGGCATTTATATATGAAATCTACACATGCTTATGTTGTTGTTAAGTTTTACATGTTTTGATCTCAACAGCCTCCCAACACTGCTGCTCCGCAGTGATCAGAGATCTTTAAACAGAATTATGCATGACCATTATTAATAGTCAGAGTAGTGACTTTCTGTTCCTGCTGAAACTTGACAACCTGACACGTGTCTATTCAAAGGCCAAACAAGACACACACTCATCCATATCCCCAGCTTGCACTGAACAATACACACACAGACACACACACAATATTGCCATAATTCTTTAACAACCCAAACAAATAATTCAGATTGTAATAATATACACACCACACAGATGGTGTGCATGGAAGAGTAATGTACCAAACACTAAAGACATCCACTCAAATTTCTGTACAAATTATTTTATGTGTGCTGAGCTGCTCACCCAGCAGGCAAGTACTTCATAACTGCTGGCGTTGCCCCCAGCAAGGTCCGAACCGGCCCAGCTGTCACGCTGGGAAAACAAAATCAGACGCACCTAAAGTCATTTCACAAGACCAGGCTATTTAAGTGATCCACATTTGTAGCAGCCATCACTCCATAATATCCACTTATTTATTCATCAAAATGCTAAATTCTTTCAGCCCAGCAGTTGCCGCCTGGTTTGCGGCGTTCAGAGTTGCTAATCGTGTTAAACAGTAAAGAGGACATGAATCGGAAGCTATATAAACAAGCCTCTAAGCATCAGGCTGGAGGCTCAGCAGGCTCATCTCCTACAACTGCTAAACCTCTCCATCCTCCCATGAATGTATGAGGGCTGGTGTGGGGGCCTGAGGCTCCACTGGGGAAGGAGAGCTGTTAACTCTCCGTAGAAAAGCAAAGATGGAAACAAAAACATATAAACAAAAAAACGACCCGAGAGAGAGCAGCAGTCTTCACCTCTTAGAAATACTTTTTTAGTTAGCAGGCCTGCAGGATTTATTTAGGGTTGTTTTGGACCCAATTAGAAACAAAGTCAAAAGTATTGTGAACATCTAAACTGAAAATGTACTTTTAGGTGTCAGGTAGAAGCTACTAAAGCTTTGGCCATATGTGCCTTACGTTAAAATGTAGAGAGAGAGAGAGAGAGAGAGACACAATGATGGCCAACAGCTACATTTAAAGGGACAGTTATTACCAAAATCCAAAATACATATTTTCCTTCTTACCTGTAGGGCTATTTATCAGTCTAGATTGTTTTGGCATGAGTTTTTGAAAGTTGAAGATTTAGAGATGTCAGTATAATGGAATTAGATGGCACTTGGCTTGCAGTGCTCAAAGCAAAAAAGAAAAAAGAAATCATGACCTGGTTACTCAAGATAATCCACATAGCTTGTTGTGGTCAGTTTCATGCAGGAACTTTTTTTTTTCTTCTGAACTACTCCCGCCAACTGTATCACTGTGCAGAAGGAAGTGTACATCTACTGCAACAGGCTGCAAGTCATTTTTGATGGTAACCTGTGAAACTACAAGCTGATGCCCGACACTTGACTGCGTGACTGATATGACGTGCAACAAATCAAAGTTGAGCTGGCCGCAACTTTTTTCAGTGCTCCAGGGATATGGTGAAGCGCTAAACCGGGGGTCGGCAACCTTTACCATCAAAAGAGCCATCTTTGGTCAAAAAATAAAATAAAATATCTGTCTAGAGCCACAAAACATATTTGAGTCTCATATTAAAGGTAACACAGCCTTTTAAGTCAAATCGACATTACTAATAAATCTAATAGAGCAACCATGAATATGTTTTAGCACAAGGTGGCTATTCTGCAGTGGGCTAATTTTGATTATTTGGTACTTTCACTTTGCAGCATTGTCGATAAAAGCAATTAAATTCCATGCACTATTAAATTCTCTGTTTTCCTCTGAGGCTTCTTCCTTTTTGGATTTGGAATCCACAGCTAGCCCAGCTAGAGAGAATCAAGACTACTGTAGCCATTGCTAGTGATGTTTTCAGAGGAAATGGCACCAAGTCACAAATGTACCATACCATACCAACTTTATTTATAAAGCACTTTAAAAACCCAATGGACCAAAGTGCTGTACACAATTAAACATAAAGTGCACAATAGGCATAATACATAAAATATACATAAAACAAAGCAAAATAAAAACAATAAAGATAAAAACATAAAAGTGCAATAAAATAACACAATATAAAACCAATAAAACATTTTAAGGCACAGCACATAAAATTAGTCAATAAAAAGAGTAATAGCAAATTAAAAGACATCAATTTATACGGGATCAAAGGCCATGGAGAACAGGTGGGTTTTAAGGCGCTTTTTAAAAACATGCAGTGATGGAACTTGTCTGATGTCGAGAGGCAGGTCATTCCATAGTTCCATATTCCACAACTGAGAAAGCGTGGTCCCCTCTGAGCCTGTTTGCTGTTTTGGGAACTTTCAGGAGCAGCTGGTCAGCTGACCTGAGAGGGCGTGTAGGAGTGTATGGCTCTAGCAGCTCAGAGAGGTATAGTGGGGCGAGGCCATTAAGAGACTTAAAAACAGAAAGAATTTTAAAATGGGTCCTAAAACGTATGGGCAGCCAGTGTAACGCTGTTAAAATAGGGGAAATGTGCTCACGTTTGTGAGTGCCACTTAAAAGGTGTGCGGCGGCATTTTGCACCACCTGGAGGCGGGTGACGGCGGATGCGCTAACCCCTATATATAAAGCATTGCAATAGTCTAGCCGACTAGTTACAAAGGCGTGGATTATCATTTCTAAGTGTTGCCTTGAGAGAGGAGGTTTTATTTTTGCTAGCAGCCTCAGTTGAAAGAAACTCGACTTCACAACTGCCCTAATCTGACTGTCATGTATGACGAAAGGTTAAATTAAATAAAACATTTTTTAAATTGGTGAATAGGCTACACATTTTTACAGGTGAAGAATATAACAGTCACTTTAGGCCTACAACAATAAATGAAAATTAAAATGTTCTGTCAATGCCACAGGGAGCCACTGGAGAGGGGCTAAAGAGCCATGTGCAGCTCTGGACCCGCAGGTTGCCTACCCCTGCACTAACCGATCATGTTTTTGTTTCTAGCTGTGGTACTGCATTATTTAGCTAAGTCAGCTGATGCTATGCTAGCTTTTTGAGTGTTGCAGTGAGCACATGAATGCAATGGGGAGGCGAAATGTGATTTTAGAATGGGCTCAGGTATTTTTTGACCAAAAACAGATTTTAAATGACAGTCAAGGTGCTTTGTTGCAAGTAGTAGACACACACAGGGTCATGACGACATAACTTCGTCAAGGAGTACTTGAGCAACACTTCAGCGACGACTTGGTGATAATGAAATTGGCCACGCTGTAGCTTTGTCACCAGTATGGTGAATGTAGCTGTTTACATCTCCAGGTCTGTGAATTATCTTGAGTAACAAGGTTGAGTTTTTCAGAGGTGTTCTTTTGAGCACCACAAGCCGAGTGCCATTTAGTTCCAGTATATTGGAGTGACGGCAGACATCTCCATAGCTTATATCTCTAATACTCGGCAAGTCACACCAAAACAACCTCTTGATTGATGAAAATGAGGAAAAAAATGTATTTTTATCTTTGGGTGTAAACTGTCCCTTTAAGGACTACAGTGGATTTGACACTTTTATTGGCATTTCTTTCTGTTGAACATATGGCATCCATGGAAAACATATTTAAAGTGTGTCCTCTTTCCATCTTTCCAGCCTGCCAATCATTTTGGCAGTCTGAACACTGAAACCTCTGTATGTTGATGGCGAATACAGGCATAAATAAGGACTGTGATGAAATCTTACCCTGTAGTAGTCACTGCTGTAGATATCCCTTGACATGCCGAAGTCTCCAATCTTAACCAGCAGGCCATTTCCCACCAGGCAATTACGGGTTGCCAGATCTCTGTGAACAAAGTGCTGGGAGCCCAGGTACACCATGCCCGAGGCGATCTGGGTGGCAATGTGCAGCATCTGGGAAAGGCCCAGCTCTCCGTTGGATTGCAGCGGCTGGCCGTCTACCAGAATCATAGCGTCTGGGCCGTGGGCTCTGAGTAACCAAAAAAACAAAACAAAAACATTGATTTGATGAACTAATATTGATCAGGGAGTTTTCTAGTCTGTTTAAAAGTCAAACTATGTAACTTTTACTGTTTATCTATGATAAAAAACAGTCGCACAAGTAGAGAAGAGTCATAAAGTCAGTGAACTGACTCAGTAATGTCTGTTATGAATCAATATCTATCTAAAGTTTGCGAACATTAGCCATAATAAGCTTCCAGCCATATGGGACCAGAGTTATGCTGTACAGAATTACGCAGAGATTTGTGTTGTTGCTTGTGTTATTTTCTATTTTAAAAGTTACATAATCTTACTGTAACAACAGGATGTTGGAACCTTTAAAGCCTTTTCAGCATGGCAGAGTGTAACCTGTCTGCCCTTTAATAAGTACCCCAAAGCTCCTTAGAGTGCTGATAAACCCTTATCCTGAAAGTATTGGTGCCTTTTTTGTACCCATTGAGAATAATTAGCATAACAAAGGCAGTGTTAAAAATATTAAAAAAATTATCTGTAATCTGCAAGCACTTAGGCTGCTTTAATTGCAATGATAAACTGTTGTGTCTGCACAGGTTTTTTTTGTTTGTTTTGTTTTGTTTTTAAATTAATTTCAGGGCTGTCTTTGGTGGTTTTAGAGCAACATTTTTATGAATCCCAGCCTGTCAGGAATTTTAACCAAACTCAGGCATTTCATCAAAGTGCCCTAAGTCGTACATTTACCAGTGCAAGTTTACAGTTAGAGTTCTTTCCCCGCTTAGTATTTGTGGGTGACAATGAAGAACTCATTTCCTGTGAGAAGTCCCTGCTGTTCTCTTCACCTTCTTGTCTCTATGACTAAAGACCAGGCGCCATGCGGGGAAGTTCTCCCGCTCCCTCTCAGGCTGTCTTTCTTTTACAATCTCTCAGTTTTAGTGCAATTCAATGTTCTTTGCTTTAAGTGTGTGTGTAATAATTCAGCTCCACTGTAGAGGGATTAGTGGGGCTCTTCCATAGTGTGTGTCTTTTTGTCTCTCTGCCTCTATTTTACTTCACAGAAATCTAGTAGTGGCTGAATGACTGCAGGTCGCCCTCCGCTTATCTGAAAGTTCAGCTGGACCAGCACATCAGATACTCTATTCATTCTTACAGATTCCCCACACATTTCATTTGTTAAATGTGACCAACAGGACCAATAGACCAAAAATCAGCCACGTCTTGCACCTTGCATGAAAGAATTTCATCATTCGCGACATTGCCTTTCATTTCAGGAATGATTTCCCAACAGAAAGTCTTCACGCACTCTGAATGCACACACACACACACACACACACACACACACACACACACACAGGCACTCACGCTCAATCGTAACATGTCATCTTTTCAACTATTGCTCAAACTTCAAAAACAAGATAGACCACACGCACGCACACACACTGCTGCCGTCAACGCACTTGGAACAACACACTTCTTTCCCAGACTGCTCCTGTGCACACTGACATCAACTCCAGTGAAGCTTCCCATTACCAAAGCGCTCGCTGTACAGGCATTGTCGCTTTTGTTGCGGCTTATCAGAGGTCACTTCCCCCGGTACAGTCTGACATTACCAAACAAAAGCACTAAAGCACTCATGTTTGCTAACCCAGAAAGCTGTAAAGTTGGCTGGATATTGTATCGGCGGCAGGAATTTGACAAAGTAATTTTAGTTTTCTTTCTCTTATTGAAGTTTTACATTTACTTCCTGTCAATAAGTTGGCAGACACTTCAGTCTAAAAGTCTTGCCAGGAGCCTGAGTGAAAATGCTCCTAGCACAGGTGGCACACCCACACAGACACACATTTGCATTGTAATTAGGCTTTCACCTACTTTAGTTTGCTACTGACTGTCCATATGATGAATTTCTAATTTGCTCAGCCAGCACTAGCCCGGTACATTAAGGTTTAATTGACTTAACCTTAAGTGAAGGACTGACCTGAGGAATTTGTTGAGGTCTCCATGCTTCATGTATTCGAACACCATGATGAGAGGGTCTCCATCTACACACACACCATAGAATTTAACGATGTGATCATGCTGCAGATTGGTCAGCAGCTCTGCCTCCCTCTGGAAATCCTTTCTTGCCGACAGGTTGGGATCTTTCAGTGTCTGAAAAGCCAAATACAAAAGTCAAATTTACACATTCAGAGAAGGTAAACATTAGAATGGATGGTTAGGGAGGTCGTAATGAGTACACGAGGCCTGACCCAGTCCAAGTTTGGACAAATCAACTAGTGTATACTTTGCAGCCCTCAGTACCTTGCAGTCCACTGTGCCAGTCATTTGTCTGATGGTAAATTCCACTTAAAATCTATGGAAGTCAGCTGTAGAACTATATACAGGATACATGAGCTTTATTATAATAATACTGGTACATAAATTGCTTGATGTTCATTTGTTGAAGCAAAACTAGTTTACCACTTAGCAGCCATATGAGGGCAACCTTCTTGACAAAATTGGAAATGTTTGTACAAATTGACAGTGACAACTTGAATGTGCCATTACTTTAGGTCTCCTTGAGGTTTAAGACAGAAACATCGTCTCCTACAGAAGAGGAACACAATAAACCATGTTGTTGGTTCATCCTCAACCTCCGGTCCTTTCAGGAACACACTTTCTTTAGCTGTATCCAGTCTCTGGCCCCGTAATTGTGCTGCATTTTAAATTACACACAGTGCTCTTCTTTTTTCTCCTGCTGTCCTAAATAATCCAATCAGTTAACTGATTTTTGGTTTGAATTATCCATTCAGTACACCCAATTTGTCCTTCAATTTGTAGTCATGCTCGAGGCTCAGCTCGAGGGCTGACGTCTGCAGTTTGGTCAGTCCACCACTTCGGTCCAGACTGAACTATCTCAACAATTATTTCATAGATTGCCACAAAATTATGGTCAGGCATTCATGGTCCCTCATGGATGAATCCTATAGGGGTGCAATGATCCATCAATCTGATCGTATCATATGATCAATGCAAAGTGAAAACGATTTTAAGATACGCCATTATGTCAAAATTCTCATGGTATGTCACTGTCAAAGTAGTACTAGACACATAATGGCAAACAGCCAAGAAAAAGATGAATTTATTCCGTTTTTTAAATTATCAGCAGCAGTGGAAATATTTTGATGCATCAACAGATGAAGCACATGTCATATGCAACCAATTTAACAAGATAAAATACTCAGAAAACGTGAGAACCTGGCCAGGCATCTCACTCTACTAACTTGTTGCTCTAGTTTCAGCAATAGAAGCTGCTCTCTCTCTTCTAACAATGTTACAAAGCTAATTTAGACTTAATAGGCTGTGATACCTTTATTATAAGGCTGAAGTATGTTTTGTGGCTCCACACGGATTGTTTGATTGATTGTTGATAGTACAGGTTGCCAATCCAACAGGGGTTGGCAACCTATACTATCAACTTGGCCAATTTATGCATGAAAAGTGCTAAAGCTGATAGTGGTGACTTGCAAAAAATATTTTTTCCTATGAACATTGACAGTTAATATTGAGCTGATTTTGATACTTTTGTTAAATGTTCTTATTTTTAAGCATTGAAGGAGTGGCAGCTTCTTCAGTAACCTAAGCAAATATCAATAAGATGTCCAAATAATTGGAATAATATTGAGTCTTGATGAAACTACTGATGTACACTCCCAGAATCCTACAAACGTGTTGATCATCTCACTATTCCTCTGGTACCACCAAAATGTTTGCAGTTTTTTTTTTTGAGTGAAATGTCTCTACTACTGCTAAATGGATTACTATGACATTTGATATAGATATTTAAGGTCCCCAGTAATGACCTTACAAGTTTGGTGACTATTCATCTACCGTAAACCTGCTGCCACCAGCAGGTCAAAATTTAAACCTCTTCAATCTTTTGTTTAGGACCAAATTAAACTCCCTAATAAAAGTAATGAAATTCCCATCAGCCTCAGCTTAACTAACACATCTCTGTTCAGTGCTGATTAAAAAAATGTTAGCATGCTAAACAAAATTAAGAACATGCTAAAAGTTAGCATTGGCTTTAAGAGGATGGTAGCATTCTGACTTTAGCATTAGGTCAAAGCACCACTGTGTCCAAGTACAGCCTCAGTGAGCAGCTAGCATTGCTGTCTCAATCAATCAATTTTATTTATAAAGCCCAATATCACAAATCACAATTTGCCTCACAGGGCTTTACAGCATACAACAGGAGTGGCCAACCAGTCAGAGACCAAGAGCCACAAAAAAGTACTGTGGTACTACGAAGAGCCACATCATACACATGTGTGCTTACAAACGCACTCCCTCTGTCACACAAACACGACATGACATAAAATCAAAATCCAAACAATTCCAATTTCCAAAGCCAGATTTATTTATCTCACACACATATGAATAGCCATGAAGAGAGATACACACACACACACACACACACACAGTCTCTCCCTCTCTCATACTCTCTCTCCACACACGGTCTCTCCCTCTCTCATACTCTCTCCACACACATCCACACACAGTCTCTCCCTCTCTCATACTCTCTCTCCACACACACACACACACACACACAGTCTCTCCCTCTCTCATACTCTCTCTCCACACACACACACACACACACACACACACAATGAATTGATTTTTTATGACGGATGGAAGAGCCACACGCCGATGGTTTTAATTAATGAATCGAAGAGCCGCACACTGATAGGCAAAGAGCCATATGAGGCTCGCGAGCCGCGGGTTGGCCACCCCTGGTATACGACATCCCTCTGTCCTTAGACCCTCGCAGCAGATAAGGAAAAACTCCCCCAAAAAACCCTTTAACGGGGGAAAAAAAATGGTAGAAACCTCAGGAAGAGCAACTGAGGAGGGATCCCTCTTCCAGGACGGACAGACGTGCAATAGATGTCGTACAGAACACATCAACATGATAAATTAACAATAATCCTGTAGACTCCTGTCTTGGTGTCTTGGGTGTGGTGGCTCCAAACATTATCCTCTGAACTATTTTTTTTACACCCACTCATCTGTTACTGCCTCCAGCTCATGTTGTTGATGCACTTGTTTGCCCACATCCTCCCCAAAAGCACCAGATTGACTCCATGGGAATAGAGTAGATAACAGTTGCTGTTTGATTTTTGAGTTCGCCTGATGGTGGATGGTAAACACAACACTGAGTCCACACCAAATTGTGTTAAATTGCCTTCATATTTATCAATAATAAAGCTTTGAAACTGTGTCTGTCCTGATTAAACAGCATTTTCTCTGCTGTTAAGTAGTACAGCATACAGTAGGTGGTCAGAGCATGTGAGCCGAGTCCAAAGTGAATTTTTTAAGAAGTTGGAGCAATGCCTCATCTACTGCTCCATCCTACTCCGATTTCACTCTGGTATAGCTTGCAACATGAGTTCAAAGCATGCCCAACCCAGAATGCACCTGTGTATTGTGCACACACTATTTCCTGTCAGAAATCAGCTGCTGTGAGCTTGACAATGGAGTTTACAAAGTACTTTCAAAAGGAAACTAAGAAGTCAGACATGTACAGTATATGCTCCCTGTAACACTAATGCAGCTTTTTTCTTTATTTGGAGTGAGTGTTGAGCGATTTGGGTGGACGCGGGGTGAAATCTGAATTACACGCGGAGCAATGTCGAGCAGAGCGGCCTGAAGCGGTTTCGACCGGGGGAGCAGAGGGAGCGAACAGCTTGGTGAGCGAGAAGCTGAAATTCTCACCACTCCACTACGCTCTGTAGGTGGCTATGCATTATATCCACCTAATAATCCTGTACATAGTTTTTTGGCAGCTGACTGGAACATCCGTACACAGAACAAATTGATCTGATTGGTAGACGGATCAAGCAAGGAGTACCGTGAACTCCTTTGAAGTGGAGTACACATGAAAAATCAAATCTTGATGGGATGTTGGTTAAAGCCGCCAGTATCAGTAAAAAAGGGGAAAGAAATCAAATAACAGCAATAACATGCCTTATTGCTGCCTCTATTGGAGGAAAAAAGACTCTTGACACCTCATCTGCAACAAGAAAACACAGCAAGTTGCCTCTCTTGATCTCCTTGGCCTGGAGTCCTGCTTTCTCAGCTTGCTGCTGACGTTATTACAGATGGAAAGACCTTGGGATGGAAATACATTTACTCATATGTGCTGTTCTTGCAGTGAAGTGCTGGAGGTGGTTGAGATGTACGGCAGAGTAGGTAAAATGGCCATAAAATTCTATTACCAAATCAAACCGCACTCTTAAGGAAATGTTTCTTGTCTGGGCATCCCTCCAAAACAATACCTTCAAGTGCTCGACTACAATAAATTGAGGTAAAGCGCTGCAATGAATTTTCCCTTTGTTGACCTTTAAGTGTATTCGGAGAGCCTCTTTCTGCTTTATCTCAGACAGGAACATGTTCAGATGAAAATGCACATTGCATTGTGTTTTAAAAATGAAGAGGTCCTCGCAGGGGAGGCTCATTGGAAAACTGCTTTTTCTTCTAACTCTTTAATACTAAGAAAAGGATGTGACAGTCAGACACACCATCATCTTCTTCTCAACTCTTTGGCTAAGTTCTGCTGTCAAGGTCAGGATGGTTTTCTGACTGGATTTTTTTTATTTTTTTTATGCAGGGTGGGTTTGCTGAGTCTGCAACTTAATATTCAGTATTACCCTTCTTCACATTCAAACAGTTGCTCATATTCACACTGGGAGCTGGCAAGCACAATTTAATGTTGAGCACTGTGAAAGCATTGAGAGCCACCATGCAGGGGCAATGCCTCCAATGCTTTAAGCTCTTTAAAACAAAGCATCCAGCTCACTGGAGTATTAACTTTGCTTGACAGTAATTGCCAGTCCCTAGGCTGATACTTAGACAACTTTTGAGCGAGTGCAAAGACAGGTAGAGGTTGGGGCACCTCAGGTGGGAGAGCCCTCCGCCTCTAACCAGAGCACTTTTTTTAAATCTCTTTTTATCTACACTGTGTCTCAGGTTACAGATGCCAAAACTCCCTACTAACAATGGGCTTCATTCACCAATATCTTCCCAAGGTTTTTGTTAAATTTGTCCTTAAAAAAGATCCTAAGAAAAGTCGACGTCAGATTCATGACATGTTCTTAAACCACAGCATTGTTCGCACCTGTGTTCTTATAATGACGAATCCCACTGTCCTTGCAAGTTGAAAGAGCATGCCAGTTGATCCAAATTAGCATGTAAATACCTCACAAATTCCAATAAAAGAGCTTGAGACTGCATGGCCGTGTGCACACATAAATTGCAGAAGAAGAAATGTTGAAAGAATTAAGTCAAGAAAGCCCAACTTAAAGTTTGCAGAGGGTAACGTAAAACAAAAACCAAAAAAACTTCAATAGTTCTGAAGTGGAGGTACTTCTGCGGGAAGTAAAAGCCAAGCGCGCTGTCATATTGAATCATATTCAACACAAAAAAGACACAAAAAAACCAACAACACATTAATCAACCGACTGACCCGCAAACTGCAACCTTGATGCTGTATAGCGTAACTGTCAGGACTGTCAGGACAACAGAGACGTGTGCCATGGTGCTCTCCAAGCTGTGCATGTGTTTGTGTTTATGAGAGAGGAGTTGGAAGGTGGATTATTTAATGCAATGTTTCTAATTAATAACTTACTCGGAACGCTGCTTTGTCACCTTTTGACCTGAACCGCCCGTGATATTTTCAGGCATGATTAATCACTAATTATTAGATGCCATGGTTCCCATTAACATAACTGATGTGAATTGTTTGTTTTTATTTTAGAAGACCATAATGCTTTTTGTAAAGTAGTTATTAAGAAATTTTATAAATATCATTTAATAATATATATTATATTATAATATTACGCAACTGTAGAATTGAAATAAACACAATAACCAAAGTGTTTTGCACAAACTTGTCAGCACAAAATGTGCATGTGTTTTCATGAGTGTGCATAGATTCTGTTTTTACCTAAGAATAAATCCCAAATAACAAAACAAAGGTGAATGATAAAATGTTATTGAAAACTGCATAACAGTTTGTGGGCCTCATCCATTCTTTTTAAGAAGAATAGTGATGCTGTTTTATCCTGCATAGTACCTTTATTCACTTTCTTGCTGGGGGTTAGATTAGAACTGGGGTGTCAAACTCATTTCAGTTCAGGGGCCACATACAGCCTAACTTGATCTCAAGTGGGTGGAACCAATGAAACCAATGCATAATAATCCATAAATAAAAATAGCTCAAATGATTACCCTTTTTTTTTGTAAAGACGCACAAGTACAATCTATAAACGTTCAGCTGTTTATAAGATAGATGAGCAACCTGAGATGTTTTAAGAAAAATAAGTGCAATTTCAACAATATGTCTCAGTTTTTCCACATTCAGTCAGTCTACTTCTCGCTGTCATTACATGTGCATTTAACCATACATTTCCATTTTTTAGCAGAAGGGTTCTACCAGTATTGTTTTAGGATAGAAGTCTGATACAGATTCTTTGGTGCTGAAGCTGCTGATTGACAATATTTCGCACAATATTCAATATCATTCAGTATTCTGTGTTTTTTTTCAGAGAACTATATTCTGGTCAAGATGGAAAAGCCTCTGAAGCAGCATTTTATATGAAGCAGCTACTCACTGTTTAACTTGCTCCTAAAACCTGGCACCTCTTAGCCTAGCCTTCTAGTGGGCCGGATTGGATCCTTTGGCGGGCTGGTTCTGGCCCATGGGCCATATGTTTGACACCCCTGGATTTGAGGATTGATTTCACTCTCATATGTGTCCATTACTTGTGAAGCTACAATCAGGAGACAGTTAGCTTAGCCTAGCTTATGTGCCACTCTCGCTGTTGGGAGATGTCTGCCAAGAGGGTTTTCTGCCGTAAAGGGATTTCTTGGTTAGGGTTAAGAAAAAAAAATTGTGGTTTAGGTTAAAATGGATAGATTTCCAGGAAAACGTTCTCCCGTGTGTGCCACATTCCACTCACTATGCCCTACTAGAAAGATTACTGACTAGAGGCTATTGGTAAGACTAGTGGTACTAGATATACAGTGCTGGTGATTGGACTGAGGAGCGGGCCATAAAATTCACGATACTGCCTATCACATGATTTGGGCCAACGACTGTAGTTTAATCTAAGCAGATACAATGTAGATACAAGGCCAGGTCATGCCACTGAGTCTCTGCTCTTTGCTTGGGAGAGAGCAGGATTTAAAGGTAGCTTAAAGGTGAGCAAGGTCAGGGCTCGAGACTGATGTCGCCTGTCAGAGGGCTCAGTGATTTATGATGGCACAGCCCACTGCAAGGCCTGGTGATAGGTCAAAACATCATTTAACAGCAATATTGGACCTCCACAGGAGGGCTCACCTGGCTTTTGGCACATTTCATTGTGTACTTACGACTGCTGTATTTTTTGAATTTAGAGACTGAGACATAGAGAGCAGTGTACATGACATGGACATTACTTCTTTTGTTCCACTGTGGTATTTCTGAGTGCACTATATTGTGGATAAGACTTGCTGTTTCCCCTGTTTGTGTAGTGATCTTCTCATCTGACCCTCCACAGGAAAGTGAATAAGTGCAGTACCCAAAATGTCGTACAATTTCTTTTGTGCTGTTTACAACACACATACACACACACACACACAACCACACAGAGAAAACGTACCTTGACAGCCACCAGCATCTTGTCCTTGGTGGGACTGAGGTTGTAACACTCTGCCAAGAAGACTTTACCGAACGCTCCTTCACCCAACTCCCTCTTCAGGATGATGTCTCTCCGCTTTATATGCTGGACAACTAAACAACAGACAGGCAGGGAGAGAAAAGGGGAGAGAGAAAACAGTGACAAGAGTCATTTTAAAGAAACCTTTGCTCAGATATTAAACCTTAGCACATTTTTATGGGACAGAAATTCATACAGTATTTGCAGAAAAATATATTTAGAGGGAAAACTTTACCCCCACATGAATATCATCATCTTTTAATCATGGGTATAAGCAGATGTAAAAGAGGAAAAGACAGGCAAAGAGGAAGGAGTGAGAGAATATGAAGCAGTCAGACAAGAGAAGCAAAGAGAGACAGAGATACAGTGTACTGGCAGCTGTATGTGCTGCACTGTGGGTGCAGCTACTTTGTAGTACTTAAAATTCTAGTCAAGATTTCAAGTTGCTAAAGATATAGTATGAAATATGTCATGCTGAATTACAAGGACGTGTGCACAAAATGATGCACGAGACATCTTAAATTTTCTCTTTGATGTAATATTGAATCCATAAAAAACAAACGTCTTGAGTATTTGAATACTCCTCTTAATATAAGTGCGATACAGCTTCACTGAAGTGCTGAAAAAAAAAGCAGTTACAGAATATGTGATATTGTCAAACTGTAAAAAATGTTTTATCTAACTTTGAAGCTACTTAAGAGAGAATATTGGGAACATTAGGGTTCAAGTGGTTTAAAATCTTCAAAGTGCAAATAAACTGTGAGATGACACTGGACCTGCTGAGCTGCAAATCCCTTATCTGGATCCGTTGGTTATACTGTTGGCATTGAAACAGCACAGGAGGGACATTTTCTAATGAGAACAGAATTGTAAAATGTCTACTTTGGAAAAATCTCTGTGAGAGTTGCGGGACAGTTAAAGGGAACCTCCTAAGCTCATTTTCAGCTTCATAATTGTATATGAGTTTTCTAATAGAACACGTTTACCTGCTTTAATGTTCAAAAAAAGACTTCATTTTCCTCATCCTGTCTGTGCTGGAACACCTGTATGCACTCTCTGTCTGAAATGCTTTGTTTTAGTGCCTGTTTCTTTAAGTCTTCTCCCAAAAAGCCCAGTCTGCTCTGATTGGTCAGCATTTCCAGGTACTCTGCATCTTTGAGTCTCTGCTCCGTCATTGCAGCCGGGGAATAACAGAGAAACACAACACTTTCTACAATAATAATCACAACTAACAGCTTCTAAGCTAACAGCAGGCATGTGATCCAGAACTGGGGAGAAATTAACAAAATAAGCAAACAAAATTACATGTTTCCCTGAAGTTTACAGGTGGCTACATGTAGTAGTGTAATTGCAGCTAGGAAATGACTGAGTTTAGTGGCACTTTCTCCCATTAAAAACCACAAAGTAAAGCCTCTTAACACAACTGGATATGTTCCAGCGGAAATATGATTCAAAATCAGTGAAAAATTAACATTTTCATTCAAGATTATGCTTCCCTGAAGTTAGCATGTATCTACAAGTAGCAGTGTACTTGGAGCCGGGGAATGACTGCATATGGTGGCACTTTTTCCCATTAAAGACCACCAAGTAAAGCATCTTAACACAACTGGATATGTTCCAGCAGAAATATGATTCAAAATCAGTGACAAATTAACATTTTTAACCAGGATTATGCTTCCCTAAAGTTAGCACATAGCTACACGAAGCAGTGTACTTGTAGCCGGGGATTAACTGCATATAATGGCACTTTCTCCCATTAAAAACCACCAAGTAAAGCCTCTTAACACAACTGGATATGTTCCATCAGAAATATGATTCAAAATCTGTGAAAAATTAACAACATCTTTAACCAAGATTATGCTTCCCTGAAGTTAGCATGTAGCTATACGTAGCAGTGTACTTGGAGCCGGGGAATAACTGCATATAGTGGCACCTTTTCCCATTAAAAACCAACAAGTAAAGCATCTTAACACAACTGGACATGTTCCAACAGGAATATGATCTGAAATCAGTGGAAAAATTAACATTATTGGCCAAGATGACATGCTTCCCTAAAGTAAGCATGTAGCTCCAGTAGCACAGTATTCCTCCAGCTGGGGAATGACTGTGTATAGTGGCACTTTCTCCCATTAAAAACAAACAAGTAAAGCCTTTTAACACAACTAGACATGTTTCAGCAGGCATATGATCCAAAACTGGGGAGAAATTTTGAGGATTACTTATGTTTACCTCATCATTTGAAACTTTGGCGCCATTTAAGATGAACATCCTACACTGTAAAATTATAAATATGACAAATAACAAAAAGCATATAGGTCTTTCTATTTGGGATGTTGTGACCTTTAGCTGTTTTTTTCCTTCCATAGTCTTCCATTGATTAGCCTAACAAAACTGGTGGCCTAAATCTTGCAAGTTGACCACACTCAGGCAGAAAAAGTGAAAAAGCCACAGAAACAGGAAGAAAGAGAAATTGTGAGAGAGAAAGTATGGAGCCTGGCAGGTATCAGGGGTAAAAATGTTACCCCTGATACCTGCCAGGCTTGGTATGAAAGAGTTGGGAGAGTGTAGGAGTTGTTGGCTCATGAACAGAACTGCTCTTCAGGCCTGACTCTGAATAAAACATGACAGCTTGTAGGTTTACCATGAAATCGCACTGCTTCTATAAAGGCCCACACTTACACACACACACTTATATATTTATACATAGTTTCCCGACAAGACATTTAGACGATGATGAGAGGCACTACGTGAGTGCTTCACATCACGATATACAAGGTTGGACGTCATGGTGAGGTGTAGAGTGGTTCTCTCTGCTTTTAATGAATTAAAATAAACAAGCATGTTTAATGCTCAGCAACAGGAAACAAAACCATAGGTAAAGGGCCAAAACAAAGTTATTATGTATTTAACTGAATCATGAATTAGAAAATAAATTAAATGTGAACCTCTGGTATTAAATTAAATTCTAGCAGTTGCAATCAGTCTCCAATATTTGTCTAACCATTATATGATACAGTATATAAAGGAGAATTTAGCTATTATGTTATTTATTCATACCCAAGGACAGATAATTCAGTGTTTGTGCACCACTCTTCTGTTAAGCTGACCAAAGCCTTTATGAGCTTGAACTTCACTGCAAAGGTATACCAGCATCCATTCCATAGACAATAAATACATGAGGCACCATGAGATGATAACGCAAGGCATTAAAAGAAGGAACCAGAATTTTAATCTCATTTAAAATAAAGCTAAATCACTTGATCTTATGCAGCAGAGTCAGGTTTGACAGTGGCATCACTAATTCAAGGCTCACTTCTGCATCTTTTATCTAGGATAAAGTTGTGTACTAAATATTTGCAGGTATTGACTTAACAGTCCTTGGGAAATTATGTACTATTATGTAGTGTTTATTTCTTCAGCTGTAACAGCCGGCTCTTGACTAAAGACTAAAGGTGCTGCTGAGACATCCTGCATCAATTTCACAATATATCTTCAAGGTTCTTACAGGTTCTTGTTAGCCCGGTCACCAAATTGAATGTGTCTTTGGTCGATGAGAAAACTTCCAGGATCTTTATCCATCCTCCATCTGTGTGTTCTTTTTACCACACTTGGCGGTCGCATCATCACGTATCATAGAAAATATGTCATTGAGCACACAAGACTATATGTACTGAGAAAACACTGATGTCCCTGCAGCAAGAGCTCGTGAGCTGTTGCATCTGTTGTCATCAGCAAATATAACAGAGAGGCATCCTGAAACTTCAGCTTCTCCGTACACTTCAGGCTATTTGATCTTTTTCTACAGATGAATCGGTTTACTTTAGCCTACAACTTCCAACTGACCTTTCACTGAGTCCTACCATCTGGTTATAGTTGTTATGCCTGTCTAACTTTCAGTTGTCACACGCCACATATGCAGGTTTCAGTGATGATCTTGGCAGAATTACTGGAGGTAAGGATCCAGTATTATTGATGCTAACATATCGTCATCTTTAAGATACACCTTTATTATGAAATTGCCATGGCATGTCTGTGTCAGACAGTTCAGACAGTGCTAACAACCCAGTACCAGACAGATAATGGTAAGCAGCCAAGAAAAACACAATATTGTCTCATATGGATCCTCCAAGGCTCCTAAATAATCTAATTGAAAACGTATCGTGGCAGACTTTCAGATATCAGCAAATAGGGCATTATTGTCCAGCAAATTGATATAATATTGTGTTGGGATTTACACCCCTAAGAATTACCATTTGACAGTCTTAGTAACTTTTGAAACAACAGGTCCTTTGTTTAAGACAGGTAGACAATAGAAGCCCATTTCAGCTCTATCATGCAAGCTAATTATGCTAATGTTGGCTTCATAAATTGACTAAAAATAATTGTCTGCAGCTGGCATTTGAATGTGTCCTGCTGACTTGTTTTGAAACAAGAGCCCTGTAAAAGGGTCTTGAATATGCACATGATGGCTATGTACATGATATGCTACAAGAAAAATACTTAATCTGCACGTCTCCAGGAAAAAGTCAGCATCCTCCCCAGCTAGTGATGCATTTCTATGATGTGAAAATAAGATATTAGCATTTTTCTTGTGTTGAAATAACCCCGTTGGTCAGTTTTGCTCACAAACTTGGACAAGACAAGTCGGTGAAGATTCTCAGTCATCCAGGTCATGGTAATCATCACTATATCGTTGACTAAGTCGTTGACTCACACCCACACAGGCTTTAAAGGCTGCAACTCCGTACCAGTCATTTAGAATTGAAGAAGCTTCTTGGATGAGAGGTGAAACGTCTTCAAGAAACTAAAGCAAGTCCAGCTGCCTACGATATAGCACTTATGAAACATACATCTGCATATGAATTCATCATCCATTCATACATCATACAATATCCAATGGGTTCCCAGATTGCTTTTCAGCCAATATGTCAATTTCAACAATTTCAACCACAACAACAAAATCTTGTCCCGTTGCCTATATTCTGTATACATAAGCAGATCTCAATTTCTATGGATAAAAACATCCCCATATTTAACAGCTGCCAGAGCTGCTGATGTTAATCTGCACACAGTG